TCCCATTACAGTTGTCACAGAATACAGTGTTGCACAGAGACAGAGACAGAGACAGAGACAGAGACAGAGACAGAGACAGAGACAGAGACAGAGACAGAGACAGAGAAAGAAAGCGGCAGGAGGTAAAACTTTTCCTTACCTTGCACCCTACCCTTTATGGCAGCCATGGCCGAATACACAGTTTCCTTGAGCAGAAAGTGGATGGTGCTGCCGATGTTCCAGCTAACATCTGCAAGGCACAGCCGTGAAATCCCAGGGACATCCCCAGGGAAAAACGTACCTCCCACCCGTCTCCCCTCTGGGAGAGGAGCCCCTGCCCCAAACAGACGCTCATCTCTGGAGTATCGGGCAGATGAGACACGGCATACATAGTGAACATCCGTTTTCATGTTTCTAAAAAGGTTCCAGGTTTCCAGCCTTTAAGATTGTAGCTATTGCCTGAAATTACACAACTTTTTGTTTTTAGTTTAGTGCTATTACTTTACATTGTACTCCCTGAAGCAATCTTACAGCAGGCCATTTACATTTTCCATACATCCTGATGAACGTTAATTGGGGCATTCCTAAAAGAGATAAAATTCTGCCAGTCCTGAAAAAAGCGACGGCTTCCTGCTTTGTTTTTAAGCCTGGGAATCTGATCCGTTGTTCCTACCGAGAGAAGCAGATCCCTCCACCGAAATGACTCTTTTCTTTTTCTCTTAACATACTATGCGGTGGCAGAGTGTGGACTTGTCTGACTGGAGTTAAGCAGACTTTCTTTTTCGAAGGCGCTTTTAGGCAGGTACAAGCAGGATTGGAAAAGTATTCTGGGGCGGGGCGTCTGCTGCGGTCTTGATGAACTACATTGCGGGAGGAGAGCCGTGCTAGTCTGGGGTAGCAAAACGTCGGAAAGAGCCTGCTAGTACCTTTCCCAGCTACACAAGGCGTTTTATTGAAAGGCACAAGCCGTCGTGAGCCGGGGCTCTCTTCACCAGCTGCGTCAGCTGCAGCTCATAAAAGCTGCTGCCTTTCAGTACAAGCTGAGAGTTGGGAAAGGGCAAATTGCAGTTATTCATCCTCTCGAGCGCCCATATCACCATTCTCCCCATTCGGCCCAGATGTATTCCCTCAAGGCCAAACGTAAGCAGCTCCCTTCTGAAGGCACCTGAACTTCTCTTTGCAGACGCAGTTGGGTTGCCCTGCACGTGTGGGACATTTAGGCGATTAACTCGGAAACACAAAGGCGAAGAGGTGCTGAGCCTCTCGCCGAGCACCTACAGCAGAAGAGGACAGGACTTACTGTTCAGGTCACTGAGGATCTGCCCTTGGGGGACCCTGAACTGCTCCACAGTCAGCCGAAGCCCCTGTTGCAGAAGGAGAGCAGAGTCAATTGCCAACAGCCAAAGGGAAAGCCAGAAAGGGCCCAGATCAGCCCCCGGTCAGCACAAGCCTTGAGCTGTAGTGAGACCACGCTGGGTGTTTGGTTTGGATTCTTGCAAAAGGCAGCTTGGCCTGATGTTCCCCCAAACTGAGGCATTTCTGGGAAGGGTCCACACTTGGACATCTAGCTCCATTTATTACCTGTGTGGCCTACAGCAAGGGACACCGCTAGCTGATTTTGGATGATCTCAAAAGCATGCTGGATGGGGAATTCTGGGAGTTGAAGTCTACCCATCTTAAAGTCACCAAGGTTGAAAAACAATGCGCTAGTTGGTGGCTCATGGCTGCCCCCTTATACACCCTTCCCATCCCAGCCTTTTTAGATGGGAAACTGGGAGGCAGAATGGGAGCTCCTGGAGCCGTGGGGCTGACCCCTTTTCTTCCCCCAGAGGCAGCATGTCCTGACGTGGAGAAACAGAAGTTGGCAGCCCCTGAGCCCTCCCCCCCCCCCCCCCCC